GGTGATTTAGTCATCAATGCCATACTTAAATAACAGCTTTAGGTCTTCCAAACCCTTGAATGCCTGCTAGTTTGGGGACAGTTTAAGATACAAGAACAGAACACCCCATCATGCTGCCTGACATAGTCTCCAATGATGCCAGCTGCTTTGGGTACAAGGCCCTTCTTTTCCACCATCTCACACTTCCCAGGGTTCCTTACCCAAGTTGTCCACCAAGGAGCAGATGGTACAGAACTTGCTACCAAGGACACCACAGGTGACAAACATTCTACCTAGGATGCACAGGTCATTTATCTTGACCAGGAAGTTGCCTATCTGAAGTGAACCCAGGATCTCACAAATGATCTTTGGTCATTCTGAATCAGGAACCAGAGAGTCAAACTGACTAGCAATGTCAAAATTACATCCATAGGTTTCACCATTATGGCCTTGGGTCATAGTTGGGTTAACCCAGCAACACATCTTAACTATGTGATGACAAATGTTCATTCATGCCAAATATGAAGGAAAAGGGATAGTGAAGTCATAAAAAGGGACAGCTGCTGATCCTTCAGGTCACAGATAAACGTGACATCATCTCTGTACTTTCCAGTCAGTGTCCCCTTTGGTTAAAACACTGGTTTATCAGTCACTTTTCCAACATGACATTGAAGCAGTGGATGGTGGCATCAAACACCATCTCCCTAACTGCCATCTTCCATAGACTCCAGTCTCATGCACACTTGGGCGTTTTGAGCCCAAACGTCTGACTTCCTCGTGGCCCACCTGTGTCTTTCAGTTTCATGCATTTGGCCACCTCCTTCTCTATCTGTTTGTTGATGGCTCTTTGCTGCTTGGGGCCCCACACATGCTTTCCCTGATATCACACGAGCTCCTCTAGCCCAGCGTGATCTGCCATCCTGGCTGCCAGCCAGAACTGACTGCTGCTGTCTTACCAACCTTGGTGGCCTCAACAGTTGGCTCTATTAATGACAAGAAATCAGTCTTTCTAACTCTGTGTAATTGGAGCCCCATTTTTATCTTCTCCCCAGTGCTCTTGTGAGTTTCCCGAGAGAACATGAATGAACTCCAATTTATTCAACCACTATTACCTGATAATAATGCCACATCACTGGTGCATGCTCCAATATACACCAGGCTTAAAACAGCTGAACAGTATGTAAGAGATAAATAAGTTCTAGCTGTTGCCTTGTCAGTAGATATATGTGCAAGGCTATTGTATAAGCCAGGGAAAGAAAGGGGACCGCTGGTTGTTTCAGTTCCTAGGACCAAAAGTTTTAAAGATAAGTATTCTATCTGAACTCTGTAAGAAATGGATGAGCACGTGGCAGCGCTTAACCATGTGGTAAGCCACAGTGCCTTTTGCCATCTTCTGTCATTCCTGCAAGCTTTGGTAAGCATCTAAAAAAACTGCCACAGCAAATGGTACAGTTACACATAAGGAACACTTGGAAGATCTGGACAGTCATCTGCTGCCACCAGAACACGAATCCTCAGCTGTTGCCCTTTCCCCCCTCACAAGCTGGTGTCACATAGCCCCATATGTGGGTCAATAGAGAAATTCCATTTTTATTCTGATTGCTATATTAAATTAAATCAGCATTATAAATTTTAAAAGCCTCTAAATTATTTTTCCACACGTGGTTTCTGTATGTGACTCATGATACATAAACGACAAACATACACGTTGGTTCAATACTACTGTTCTTAAAATGCACATTATACCTAATGAAATATACAAAGAAAAATTACAAAATAGGAAAGAAATCATGTACTTTTTTCTTTCTTGTTTCCCTCCTCTTTTCTTTTTGTTAAGTTTTAGGTTGAATTATTCCATATTTATTTTACTTTCTTAAGAAAGTATAACAGAATATTTATTTGGGGGTAAATTAACACAGGGGGTTCCCATGTGTCTTGTTATTTCCTTCAGGGAAAATACCTTACATTAGTGGGTTCTGTTGAGAGTTTTAAGCACAAATGTCTACTTGACTTCATCATGGCCCAACTCTGTGCTGTGTGTTACTGTGATGCATTACTCTTTCTCTCTCTCTCTCTCTCTCTCTCTCTCTCTCTGTGTGTGTGTGTGTGTGTGTGTGTGTGTGTGGTGTGTGTGTGTGTGTGTGTGTGTGTGTGTGTGTGTATACCAAGAATAGACACTGGGTGTTTTCCATAATCATTCACCACTTAATGATTTGAGACAAGTTTTCACATTGAACCTGAAGACCTCTGATTTGGCTAAGTTGTCTGGCTAGTGTACAGCCAGGGCTACACAGAGAAACCCTGTCTTAAAACACCAAAAACAACAACAATATCAAAATAAGGTATAGTTAATATCTCTTAAAACATACATCAAACTAAAGAAAATGGGTAAATTAAAGCCTGAAACAAATATTTTGCAACAAATCATGTCTAAATAATTATTATTTTAAACCTGCATCACCAAAAAGAGAAAATGGAGTGTTTTTTTAAAGCTAACAATTTTGCTAACAATATTAGCAAAAAAATGAAAATTTGAAGAAAAAAGTAAAGCATTATTTATCTATAAAATTTGTACTTGAAAATATAATTAAAGCCAGGCCTGAAAAAAAAAATCTCCAGAAAGACAAGCACTGAGTAGTCTCATATGTGAATACAAAATATATTGATCTAAATTAGGTGTCATTATATATGATTATCATCCCAATACTTGGGAATCTGAGGAAGTGGATCACTGAAATTCCAATGCCAGACTAACATAGAAAGAGACAAGTGGACAGGCAGAGAGACAGAGACAGACACAGAGAGACACTCAGAGAGGATGTGGTAAAAGTTGAGCATAGACGATTACCAGAGGCTGGAGAGAGGATGTGGTAAAAGTTGAGCATAGACGATTACCAGAGGCTGGGGAGAGTAGCAGGGGGTAGGGATGGACAAAGGTTGAGCAATGGACTATATTGGAATTACAGAAGTATCAGAAGCCCTAATGTATGGGAACATGGTATGACAACCACAGATTGTTACTGTGTGTTCCAAACTCCCAAAACTTAACAGAGGAATATTTTCACCAGAATGAAGTGACCAGAGTTTAAGCAATAAATATGTTTAGCCCATTTACACAGTACAGATGGATATGGAAACAATACCTGGTACCTTGTTCATAAACATGGCTTTTGTTTGTTGGTTTATAAATAATTTCATTTAGAATGATTTAAAAAATGTTTGTCCTAAGCTGGCAATGTAGTTCAGTGGTAGAGGGCTTGTGCAACTTACACAAGCATTGCTAGCACTGAAAGAGGAAAATAAATAAATAAATAAACACTTTTTCCTGCACAAGATAATTCAGTAGATCAAGAAAGACAATACATGAGTTAAGGAGACCAATTAGTATCAGATCATTTGTTAACAAGTGAGTTACTGATATTATGAGAGTCTTAATCTCTCTTGCCACAATGATGAAGACTTTTGTTAGATGAGAACAAATTAGTGTCTTTAACCACAACTATATGTAATAATTAGAACGTATACACACACATATATATATATGCATACATAATGATTCTTATGGAGTATATGAACAAGTTTCTTAAAAATCCCTACTTACTACTTACTGTTTTGTTTTACTGATAACTATCTACAGGGTCAGTGAGATTGTTCAGTGGTTAGTGTTTATTGCTCAAGCCCCGAGTGACCTGAGATCAACCCCCCAGATTCCATACTAATGTAGAAGACAGCCAGTTCCATGAAGCTGTCCTCTGACATCCACATACAAGCTATGCCCACAAATGTGCATTACACACACACACACACACACACACACACACACACACACACAATTATAACAACAACAAAATTTAAATACTAATGTCACAAAAGTGCAGATGACACTGGGCAATATTATAATTTTGACACCCTCTCTGATAGCATTTGTCACTCAGAGAGTTATATCCATTGGTTTTCACATATTTCTTTTTGTTTGTTTGTTAGTATGTTTTTAAGACAGGCACTCACTATGTAGCTCAGGCTGTCCTGGAACTTACTATGTAGATCAGACTGGCCTTGAACTTATAGAGATCTGCCTGCCTCTGCCTCCCCAGTACTAGGGTTAAGGATATAGATCAATATACCCAGTTTTGGTTTTCATATATTACTTAATATGAGTCTAGCTTTGCAAACTGGAAGCCAAGAACAAAAGTAAGAAATAGCAAATATCAAGTTGCCAGCAAAACATGTACGGTGTTGATAATTAAAGACCTTTTCTTTAGTACTTTCCCTGAAAATCTATTTGTCCCTCTGACATGGCTGTAAGATTCAGGTGACAATTCTATTTTATATCCTTTAGAAATCAAAGTGGTTAAATGCAGACTTTAGCTGAATACTATTTTGCTATAATTCTTCATTAAGTTATACAGAAAAAAAGCCTGAAGCTATAGGAAATAATTTTAAAATTGTTTTTCCTTATGGCAAAGATACAAACAGACGGAGATAGAAACTGTACTCTTTAGAAAGGAACCACTTTAAGACTTAATAGGCTCTCCTTATACGTCTGCTTTTTATTTTTAAACACTACCAGTGAGCGCTTTGCTGACCAACATTTTCTTGCAAACGAAGGCCAAGAAGGGCGGGGCAGGGGCAGTTAAGGAGCTGGGTGAAAGTCGGTGATGGCCTCTGCCAAAATTCCAAGTTGAAATTGAATCGGGTAAAGTTTCTTAAGATAGGAAAAAAAAAAAAAAGATTTATAGCTTCAACAAAAGTTGTAATTCTACCAAGAAAAAGGCATGTCCATCTGCTGTCACCAAACCAACCATGGCTGGCTTTGTCACCTTTATATATGGAGGTGGAAAGAAGAAGAAGAAAAAAAGAGGCATTCAAAAAACTTAAGGAAGCCCTGACCCTTTAGATTCCATTTATAGTCTGAGCCGGAATGCCACCCCCCTGGACGACTGAACTGTCCAATCCAGCCGCGAGTGTCTAGATTCTGTTAGGCACTAAGTGAAATATATATGCATGCCCTTATACCATTCAACACTCTGGGTCCAAACTCCAGACGCTGGACTGCAGGTCAAGCGAGCTGCCACTGTTCTCCCAAGTGTCACTTGGACAGGTTCTTCTGGAGGAGACCTCTCTTTTGTTAACTCATCCTTTTAATCAAAATGGCACCAAAGAAAGACGTGAAGAAGCCTGCTGCTGCTGCCCCTGCCCCAGCCCCGGCCCCGGCCCCCGCCCCAGCCAAACCTAAAGAAGAAAAAATTGACCTGTCTGCTATTAAGGTAACTAAACAGGTGAATCGTTTTAGTCACTGAAACATATTTCAGCACTAAGGAGCTCCAGGAATGTGAGTGAAAAGGCATATTTCTCATTGAAAGGAATGGCATTACTCAGTGAACTGGCGTGTTTTAGAGGCCAGGAACCCCACTTATTTAATAGCGTGGGCTGCAGCATAGGATTCCAGTGACGTTATGACTGGGAACAAGGGAGGTTTGGGCTCGCTCTTTTCTCGTAGTTCAATCTTTGCTGACTCTGTTTTCCATTTCCCCTTAAAGTATCAAAGTGCAATTTAGGGGGAAATATGCCCATCTAAAGTTTGCATTAAAATAAAATCTCCTTGGAAATTGGATCCTTGACTCTAAAACTACAGTTTTGGCCTCTGCTTGTGTCCAGAAAGTTTAAGACAGCTGATAACCCAGTTGTCTTGGATGCATCTATTTGACAGCTGCTTCGTTTCATATGAAAAAAAAATTCTTTTGCAATTCAAGTTAATTCCCTCTTCAGCTTTGCTTAATAAAATTTCATACAGCACTTGGTGAGATCCCAATGCAGAAAATCGGGCACTCAAGTGCTTCAGTGACTAGAACTATCATCATGTTTATTATATATACAGAATTCATTCAGAATTTGTGAGTTCCTTCTAAATGAAACATATATATATATATATATGTGTATATATATATATATATATATATATAATATTATATTTATATATCCTGTCAGTTCTGTAGCTGTTTGTGTGTGTTGAGCCGTTTACATACTAACCTTGAAGTAAGGGGAATGAGGTTGATTTTTGTGTGAACATATTCTGTGACCAAGTTTTCAGCTTCAGAAAAGATTACCTGTTTGGGGGACATAGGGAGTGAATGTCCCTGTTAGCTCTCAGCAAGCATCAGATATGCACCTTCTCATTAGCTGGCCTCAGACTGGTCCTCGCGGCAGGTTGAAAATCCTCCTCTAAGGAACCCAGCCTAATATGGAAAAGCCCAGAGACAAGTGCTCATGAGGTGATCGTTTCATCCAAGCCAAGGGTATCTAATGTTTCGAGCTTAACTCTGTAGAAGAAAGCTATGATGCGGACCTACACACAAACATTCCGTTAACTACCTTAATATAATTGTGGAGCTTTTAAAAAAAATCCCTAAAATAATACTGAATAGTTCTCACATGGATTTATGTGATGAAATCAATATAATCATAATTTTTATAAGGTTAGAGATAATAGGAAATGAGATGTGTTCCAAAGGGGCAAGCATGTTACTACAAATGTTTAGTCTTCATCTGTACCTGAAGTTATATTTGAAAAAAACTTGGTCATAGAATGTAACATTATTAATGAATGTCTATTTAGGAAAAATGCCTGCTGGAGCTTCTGAAAATGCTTTTTTTTTAAATTTTGAGGACAAGATACATATAGTTAGTTCATTAAAAAGAAACCGTATTTTTCATCTTCAGCAATCATAGCTGATGTTTTTATAGATGCACACTGACTACAGCATGCAAGTGTGACTACAGCCACCACCATCCTTCCTAATTCTCTAGCGCTGCAATCTTAATGGCATTACAACTATAAGTCAGTTTTAAAGCCATTCTTTTTTACATTTATTGTGATTTATGAAACAATATCATCCCTGTTTCTGAGTCAAGAATGACAAAAACAAAACAAAATCCAAAACCAGAAGTGTCCCATTAATGAAAATGGGCTTTAATTTTCTACCCTGAGAAATTGTGTATCAAAGAATAAATGAATAAACTTCTGCTAACATCCATTTTTTAATCCAGAAATTAAGCCAGTCACTTGAAGTGCCACTTCTCTGCATTGTGACAATGTTTTGGCCTCCCGTCCATGTATTAAGTTCATGTTGTATGAGCAAGAAAAACCAAGAAAGTTCTCTGAGTTGGATGAATGCAATATAGTCCACTTCCAGGGTTTCATTGCAGAACAAGAGATGAAATAGACTTTGAGAAAGAACACAAATCAAAAAACAGATGTCAAATGAATCTTGAGGCAATGGAAGGGAATTAACCTTTTGTTTCCTTCAGAAGGACCATTCCAAATGAAAGGGACAGTAAGGAAGAAACGGAAGCAGTCTCGTTTGTGTAAAGGAACGTCAATTCCTTCAGTGATTTTTTTTCCTCATCTATAAGAAATCAGTACATGTTTGGAAGTGTTTTAGCAAAGCTGGAGAGTATGATGCAACTTGGGAGCTTTATAAAATTTAATTTCATCCCACTAGGTAGCACAGCTAATTAGAAAGTTTATTATAGCATTTCCTATTATGATGCTTTTAATCACTTGATGTTTCTAGATATATTTTCTCATGTACATTATAAACTTTTTTCAAGCAGAGAAAATGAACATATCTATATACATATTCATTAACTTTCTGAAAACTGCATAAAGAACCAAACTTCATTCCTCAATACTTTTCCCAATGAATACCATGGTCCATTATAAAATACGCCACATTTAATAGCTACATACATGACTCACCTTAAACGCTGAACAATCTTGGACATTTTTGATTAGTTTGCTTTAATGTGCTTTTCCAATTGGATTTTCTGGTTTGTTAGATGTTTATTTATAATATTTCTTCAGGTGTTCTGACAGAAAGTCTCCGAACACATGCCTATCCAATGTCTGATGTTTGTACACATTTCTGAGAGTGACATTTTCATAACGTTCCACTGGCATTTGAATATTAGTATTACTGTTCTTGGGAGTTCTCAGCTCTCTTTACCTTTAGAGAGCTGGTATTTCCAGTAACAAATCCCAGGCCTAGGATAACACTGCCTCCCAGGGTCACATTTATAGGAATTAAAACCCGCCGTTATGATGGTGGGCACAAATATGAAGGAGTGAATATTAGCTGTAACTAAGCAAAATGATGAAAGTAAATGAATATGATAACCATGTGCCTGTATTTTAAGAGATCTTTAATATGAAAGTGATTTTTTTTTTTTTTTTTGGCATGGTGCATGTGTTGGCTGGTGAGCCAGGATTGCTGTGAGTGGAGACATTCGTTGTATTATAAAAAGTGTTGCTTACATTTTAATTTGCATTGTGTTCATGTGATAATCTGGTCACTCCTGACTGGATACTGCGGGCAATATTACAAAATCGGTAGTGGTAAAGAATGCATTGACAGAAACTCTACCAAAAAAAACCCCACATCTCCGGACAGTAACTGAGCACAGACTTGGAAAGACTTAAATGTTCAATTTATTAATTCCCAAACATATATGTTTATTGCTGAATGTTCAGCGAAGGTATATTGTATGTTGTGTGGATGTTATTTTTGCTCAGATGTAAGAGTGAGAGCTTGTTTGGGATCATCTGAATTTTCTCTCATTTCTAACAAGACTAAAATAAACATAATCCCATTCAAAGAATTTCTGGGAATGTTTGGAACCTGGCTCTGTAAAAGACTAAAAATAATAAACCTCACTATAATAATAGCACCCAACATCTATTGTGAATTTATCCTGGGTTGTTTTCACATGTTGCTTTTTCAACATCACAGAGACTGTCTTTATTCTCCTTTCCAAGGAGGAAACTGAGCCCACATAAGGCCCATCATCAAAAAACTAGTTAAGTGGCAAAGGTAAGGCTTAACCAGCAGGGTAAATCCACAGAAAGACGTGTGAAGTATTCAGCTACCTCTGGCTTCTAAAAAGTAAGCTGCTGCCTTGCGGTATGGAGAGCTAGCTGTTGTGTATTGCACTGAGCAGCCCTGTGCAGCCAGCAGAGAAAGTGAGAGGCCCATTGCAGAGCTGGCTCTCCAAGGCTTTGACCTTGGCAGCTGAGCACTCTGCTTTGCCTGCTTTCCTTACACCTGTTGCTGGGAGTTACACATTCTGCTTTACAGACAGAGGACGAAATTTTAGGCATGTCAAATAGTCTCGGTCACTTTGCCCCAACTCCCTGTAAAACTTATAGACAGAAATGGATATAAAAATACTTCCACATGCAATGAGATGTCGAATTTTAAGACATTTGTGGTTTTTGTCTTACTAAATAAACCCTCAGACCTACCAAACCTAATCTTGAAATCTACCATCATCAGATTAATCTCCTTAGAAGAGACCTCTATTTGCTTGTAAATAAACACACTAATTTAATTAGCATTCTTTGGAGTGATAAGAAATGGCAATGTCACAGATATGATGTGGTTTAATACTAATCTTAATATCACTGGGGAAAAGCATGAGGCAAATACATTCAGTCAATCTCTAATTTTAAAAATAATGAGTGAAAACTATATCCGTGGGGGAGGGGGGGAAGCAAGAATTATTTGATCCTGTGAGTCGGGGACAACAATGTCTTTCGTCTTTTACATGTCTATACTCCGAGAGACCAAAACAAGTGAAGAGGAGTGAAAGGCCTTTTTTGTGTTTTGTAACTCTCTCCATGGTGACATTTTAAAGTGTATGTAACTGGGCAATGCCTTTGAAAAGTAAAATGCAACTTGCAAAGGAAGAGATGTGTTCACCAACAAAGAGTGAAACTGCTTTTCATTTAAAGATAATTAAATCTGTGCAGGACCAGAAGACCACAAAGTGACAGTGCCAAATTTAGCCTGTGACATTTCAGTGCTGCAAATGAAGCCCCTGGCAAGCTGTCTTTAGAAGTCACTCCATAATTACACAGCATTAAGCACTGTCTGAGTCATGGAAATTGTGGAAGAAATTATATTTAGTCTGCTGAGATTGTACTTTCTTCTCAGCGGACTGAAACGTGTCTGTATGAGAATAGGACATCATATACCTCACTTCTCCATCAACATTTCCAGTTTTCTTTTCACCCCAAACCAGAATTGTGACAGCAAAACCAAAGTGTTGATGACTTAAGAGTATACTAGTTAAATTATAAATTATGTGGGTGATAAATCCAGTTGTGCTAGTCAGAAAATAATGCTAGTGACTTAAAGTCGGGACAGGGACATGGAGAATTTTCCTAAGTCAGACCTTCTGTCCTTGTGAGTGAGCTGTTTCTAAACTA